TCTTCACAGAAAAAAGTGAGCAAGGATAACGCCAGAGAAGTTTCCAAAACACTAACGGAAGTATTTGAGAATTCTCGACCAATGGACATGACAAAGGAAGACGTTGGTACTGCGGCAGACGTCTTGGAGAATATTGTATCGATCAAAGAGAAACTTAATGAGGTAAGAGCACCTTGCAAAGCAAAAGAAACCATGTATGAACGTTAACGCAAGTAATAATCTCCTTGCTAATTTCTCTTGGAAAAGTTTTCAAACTAATAATAAAATATAACTTTACATTTATTTGTTTTCATTCAGACTGCAGGAAATGTTGTTGAATTTATCGATTCCTTTATGGATATGAATGAAACAACTCTCGCTGAAAGTAGAGATGCAGCATCGAAGTAAGATTATCAATTAAGTGTAAAAATTGTCACACACTGTCAATCATGATAACAAGAATCAAAGCTATACTAAGTATTGCGCATGCTCAAACCATGTTGTTATCCCACATGGTAGTGTCGAGTTGTAAAAATAAATAAAACATCTACTTAGTAAATATCTAAGAATTGCAGCCAGGATTCACATTACTATGTCACTGAGCATGAGACAAAAAAACCTTTTAGTTAAAATCTCGAATACTTTGTTCTTTCAGAATAATCAAAGTCTTGGATGAAATTGTTGAGTTTATTCCCTTTGACGATAACGCAACTGTTTTGAATATCAATAAAACACACATCATCATCCAAGCCCACCTCGTGAATACACGCACATTTGATGGTATTAGCTTTGGTAGTAGGTCTTATAACCGACAAAGAAGATCTACAGAAAATAAAACTCCGAGGATATTGGAGGATTACAATATAGAACTTCCTAAAGAAGTTATTAAAGACACCAGTGCCTCATCAACACGAATAGGATTTATTTACTATGGAAACAGCAAACTATTCCAAGCAGAAAATACCACAAGAAAACCAAGCGAAGTGGTTCTTTCTGGAAGTGTATATGGGACAAATGTTAGCAACCTCACTGAACCAGTCGTCATAAGACTGCCTCTTCGTACAGGCGACAAGAGGCCAATGGAATGTGTGTTCTGGGTTGATGCAGGTACTTTTGTTACTGTCTCACCTCTGCGAAGACATTGTATCTTTGCAGTAGTTATATCTAACTTCTCTCTTTGCTTTTGTTTTAACCCTCAACAGCTCGTCAGTGGTCAAGCGCTGGATGTTCCTTGTGTCCTCACCAGTCCACCAAAGACAGCGTGGAGTGTTGCTGTAATCATCTCACTAGTTTTGCTGTCCTGTTTTCTCCTGAGAAAAAACCTTTATCTGAAGATGATGGCGTCCATGCCAAGATTCTTAGTATCTTCAGCTATCTGGGGTGTATCATCTCTATCATTAGTGTCACCATTACCTTCATGACGTACTCCATGTTCCGGTAAAACAAAGTTTCTGTTTACAACTTCAACCATATCCTTTCTAAANTGCGCAAGACGAACCAACAACCAATCCTGATGAACCTGTGTATTGCCATAGCTCTTCTTCTCATCGTGTTTGTAGCTGGTATCAACAGTACCAACAACATACTTGGTTGTCAGATTGTCGCAGTACTCCTTCATTACTTGACCCTTGTCACTGTGCTATGGATGGGTATCGAGGCATATAATCTGTACTTACAGATCGTTAAAGTCATGGCTATATACCAGCGTAGATTCATGCTGAAGGCTGTGGTAGTGGGCTGGGGTGTACCACTCCTCATTGTTGCCGCTACTCTGGTCGCAGCCATCATGCAGTACAAACAGAATGATGATGATATAACGTTTTATTATGGCAACGAGAAAGTGTAGGTTTATGCATTGAGTTTAAGTTTTACGAACACTTTCCTCAAGACAGCTGCACACGCAAAAAGCGCATTGCGATTCGTTTGTATGCATATCAAAACACATATCTTCTAAATTTCTTTATTTTTCTGCCAACGCGACAATGATTTAAGCCGTGTAAAGTTCTCAGTGTTTCGTAACTAGAGTTTCATTCTAATTGTACATCTTATTTCATAGATGCATTCTTCATAACCAGAATTATAAACTGATAACATGGTTTGGACCCATTCTTGGAATATTAACATCGAATCTCATTGCGTATATTTTGATCGTTTACAAGTTAAACAGCAGACACAGCATAGTCCCAGCCGAACCCAAATCACAATATATCAAGAATTGCATGACAGCCCTTGCCATCATGTGTCTACTGGGTCTAACATGGCTGTTTGGTGCTCTAGCCATCTCTGATGCAAGAATCGTCTTTGAGTATCTGTTCTGTATTTTTAACTCGTTACAAGGCTTCTTCATCTTTTTCTTTCACTGCATCAGAATCAAAGAAGTGAGAAGCCAGTGGAGCGTGTTCGTCAGTGGACTGGGGGTTAGTCACGGGGATAACAAAAGTTCACATCAAAAGTCAAATGATATTGAGAAAAAACGCAAAGAGTCAGACTCAGTACGCATGCGTGAGACGAGTAATGGCCATCATGAATACCACAAGGAAGAGCCCAAGAGAAAAATAACAGTTGTAACAATGGTAGGCGAAGATGGACGAAGTAGCCTGGTAACCGACGGCAGACCGTTTAGTGGTTGCAGTCATTACAGCACTGAATTTTGATTGGTTATCAAACCGAGAGATTAATGCAAACGGGGTTCCTGTGCTGTTTATATTCGGCGCCTTGATTGGCAGAAACATACGATAAAACGTAAAAGCAATCGGCTTCTGAAAACTCTAGTGCTGGTATATCTTGACTGACAAAACGGATAAAAAATGAATAAATGCTATCTATTAAAGCACTTGAAATATKAGTACGAATACACTATACATGTCTATTTTGGCAAGTTAGATCCAGTTTTCTGAGATCATGGTAGAAATATTTTCTTAAGTAGACAAATGCTTGTAATGCTTCATGCAATCCCTTTATAGCAAAATACTGACATCATTAAAAAAATACTAAAACTTAATTTCTTGTTGATCCATGACTAACATCTGTGATATTATTGTATATTATACTATACGATGCTATTATACGAATTTATCCCTATATCATTGAAGTTGTTTTAGAATTAAATTCTTACGTCTTGTACAAGGAAAAATTGTCGTTTTCCTAGAAAAGTCAACAAAGATAATATCGAGATCTATGTTCACAGTAGCTCGCCGCTGAGAATACAAAACAATATTATTTGGTGTAAACAACGATAAGAATATYATCAGAATCTCACTAAAGAGCCGTGTGAAAATATCAGTTCAAGTTAACGTGTACCCTGTGTGGCGACCCTAGGGGGGAGGGGAGAGGAAGCAGCCCGTTCCCCATGTACGCCTTGCAGTCACCACGTAGGCTAGGAGAGGTATTATGATTTGGTATTGTTTCTGTTACCTCCAACAGACTTGAAATTTCTTCTCAGATCTTTATACGAATTGAACTTATAAACAAACGTTTTGGCCATCACTATTGCAAATTCTATAACACCTTAATTATCCAGCCCCCTCTTTGAAAAAAATCCCCCTGGCTCTTGTTTATGTTCTACCATTACAGACTCATTATCGTCATATGCAGGTCATGTTCATCAGTACATTGGACTCATAGTCCGGACTAACGTTGTTGATGAGCATGGCATTATAGAGCACTGATTGGAACCAGCCAACGCCTTTGACAAATACGGAAACGAAACAAAACTGAAAGATGAAATATCGGAAGTCCTATCACCGAAAACAGAATTATTTGCCAAAACACGAGTTTTTCTAAGATGACATCATTAAGGAGCGAGACATCAGCGTGACACTTCAAAGGTTYTYTTTCTGTCAATCAATCRCTAATCACATGATACGTCACAGCATACCTTCAGATGTGCCCTGCTCGTGTATCATACTCGTTCAAAAGTGTATTATTAGTCTCAAGACATCCTCAATCTACAGAGTATGTGAAGTTCTCGTCTTACTCTGCTTTTGGCTCGCGAAACGAAAACAATTTAAGAGCAAATTTTCAAACATGTGAAGAGCTACATTGCTGAGCTCTTTGTTTACATATGATAGCAGACATTGAAAGGTCAATTTCCTTCACGAAACAAGAACCAAGAGACTATAGACTTCATGAACGAGATGGAAATGTATGGAAGAGTTAGAATTCAGCTCCTTTCTGCTGTTGTGATGTTAGTATTTTTGATATCATGTGTTGACAGTAAAGGCGAGCTGAATCAGACATTTGTCACAGAAGGTACGTGTATTAACATGACAACTTTTCCACTATCAACAGTACTGACATCGATTGCTTGATAATCAACTTAACATGGCAAAATGTTGTCGTTTTAAGTTTGCTTCACTTTGTTACATTAATGCATCCGGCAAGAGTACCATGGTGGTACACATTGAGCAATTTCCAGCCATTAAGTTTATAACAACATTTAGCTCAATATTAACCTCATTTAATATCACTGCTGGATCAAGATACCTAGATTTACGCTATTAATTTATCAGATTTTAGGATTAAAGTTGTAAAGGCTGTGTACAGAAAACCCATTCAGTTTCAATGATACATGCTTCAAGTAGTAACCAAACATGCGTTACAGCGCAATGAAACATGACCTAAACAGACATGTGGATTTATTGTGTTCAACCTGTAGGAAGTACACAGCTAATTACTGTCTACCATTTAACCAAATTACATTTTACTCACCTACTATTTAATACCTAAATCTAAGGCAATTTTTATTTTGTAAAAGTAAACCTTTTTTTCAGCAAGGAAACACTTCTTGTAAGCATTTCCTTTCTGTCTAAATTTTCAAACGTACGACTAATTGACATTTTTCGAGATGTGCCCATGATAGATATAAATAAACTATAGAACAGTCGAGAACATGATTTCACCACCACTCTCATTAGTCAACATAGAGCTATTTGTAAAGTAAACATCTAGTGTAAATATCAATGACGATATTATTTGTAAATGATGATACACATCCTAACATGGAAAAAGATACAGAACAAGTCTATGCTCCTCTGAACGTTATTATTGCAGCAATAAAGAAATTGACATAGTTTACTTTATAATTAATCTAACTCGCAATATTCTCGTGAAGTTCTAATTGGTATGACACATTATCAATTAACACTTCTTAAGTATTTAGATAATGCAATAACGATAATTATATTAAACGTTTTTGACGCTCAATTGACCGCACAATGTT